AACATGTTAGAATCAAATATTAAAGTCCATATTCAGTTTACACTATACTTCTTCTTACACCATTTGTGTAACCTTTTCACCTTGACATAATCAATTTAGCTAAATATAATGAATGAAAGAAAAATAAATAAACAAAATAAGATAAAAGTTAATGAAGTAAAGGAAAGGAATTGAAAGGCATAAACTTGATATTAATGAAAGCAAAACTTAAGCATTACAAAAATACAAAGAGAGAAAGTAAGAGTATGATCTTGATCTGGAGACTAAGATGCTTAAATGCATGGCAAATACCTCCTTTTATAGGCCAAAATTGGAAACTATTGATTTGATGACTAATTGATGAGTGGGTGGCCAACTCTTTATTTGGTGACAATCTTTATCTTCTTTTGTTTGCCCAAAACATCATTGATAAAATCAAAATTGGAACCACTTGAAAACATAAAAGTTGTATAAAATTATCTCAGCTTTCCAGAAAAATAAATGGAGGTCATTTAGACTTCTATAACTCTAGATAGAGGCCAAACAATGAACGATGCGCGGACTGTAGGACAGATTCAGACTTTTTTGTTGTTGCTACAATCTGGACTGAAAATAGCCTTTTTAAATCTTGAGCTCTATATGAAAGTTGTAGGCCTATGTCTTACCTTTCCATCCATATAAAGTAGACCTAAATCTGAGATCTATAGCTCTAGATATGACCTAGTTCCTGAACAGTGTTATGGTTTGGACTACACCAACATATATTTTCTAAGTTTGGCCATCTCTTTATCTTTTCAATTTTAGTTCTTAAACTCATCAATCAATCCTTTTATGTATATGATAGGCCTGCATCTAAAATAAATATTTACCATAAATTAAAGCTATCTTATATTATTAGATATGTTATTATAAAATATGCTTTAGTTAAGGAGTTATTGATACTTCAAGTGCAAAATGATGATATAAACCTTAATAAAAATACACTTTTAAGTGCTAATCACTATCCAAACAAGAGAGTTATGATTTTAAAATACCATGAATAAATATAGACTGAAAATGACAGATTTAATAATGATGAGCCACCTTTGACGGATTGTAATGATGTTGAGATTGCATGCTCAATTGAGGAGGAGACCTTAATTATACAATGAATGCTTAATATGGAAGTTGAATAAAATGATGTTTATTATTAAAGGGAAAATATCTTACATACACTATGTCAAATCTTAAACAAGGTATATAATATGATAATTGACATGATCAAAAGATTGACGTCTTCTTTCAAGTGTAGGAGTGCCGAAGTAATAAATAACCCATCGAACCACAAGGAGGTTAACTATATAAATTATAAATAATAATGATGATGATGGTGATGATGATGATGATGAGTTAAAGAAGACTTTGAGATGTAAGTTTAATGTGAAAATTAAACAATGATAAAAACAGTTGTCAAGGTTAGAGGATCTACTAATGATATTTCAAATAAGTATAATATAAACTCCTTTTATTACTCAACTGGAAACCATATACAAAGGAGGTTCCCATTAGATGATTTGTCATTGATAGATCATTATAAATTATTAACATGATTATATTAATTCTCTTATTTAAGCAATACCAAACTTTTAAATATGGTTAGGAATTCATGATGCTAACTTATGTTAACAATAAATCAAGTTCCTTTCATAGCATAGGTGTAGGTTATACCATACGGTTGACTATGAAAGTATCAAGCATTTGTTGTACCAAATGTTATACAACACAAATCTAGATTAACCATTTAACAAATAAGGTATTAAAAATTAATAAGATAAAAATAATAAGATAGGCTAGTAGCAAGTTTTTAGGACATAAGCATTGAAGTCCATATTGAGTTTATATTATATTTATCTTAATACCATTAGTGAAACCTTTTCATCTTAACATAATAAACTTTGTTAAACATAATGAAAAAAAAAACATAAATAAATAAGAGAAGAACATGATTATATAAATATAGTAAAGGAAATGAAAGGTATAAACAAGAGATTAATGAAAGCAAAACTTAAGTATTACAAAAATATAAAGAAAGAGAGCAAAAACATGATCTTGATCTAAAATTCAAGATGCCTAAATATATGGCAAATGCCTCCTCTTATAGGCTAAAATTTAGAATGATTAATACTTAAAAGTATATTTTTATCAAGGTTTTATATCATCATTTTGTACTTGAAGTATCAATAACTCCTTAACTAGAGCATATTTTATAATAACATATCTAATAATATAAGATACCTTTAATTTATGATAAATGTTCATCTTAAATGCAGACTTATCACATAAATCAAGGGATTGATTGATGAGTTTAACTATATAAATTGAAAAAACAAAGAAAATGCTAAACTTAAAAAAGAGATGTTGTTTCAATCCAAACTAGAACACCATTCGGTTATTGGATCATAACTGGAGTTGTAAAACTTGGATTTAGGTATGCTCTATATAGATAGAAAGCTAATATATAGGCCTAAAACTTTCATAAAGAGTCCAACATTCAAAAGGCTATTTTCAAGTTCACATTGTAGCAATAATGAAGAAGTCTGAACCCGTCCTACAGCTCAGACATTGTTCAGTGTTCAGCCTATATATAGAGTCCTAGAAGTCTACAAGCACCAATTTTTTTTATTGAAAAGCTAAGAAAATTTCTTAGAACTTTCATAAGGATAATCTATTCAAATTTTGATGTTAGCAATGATGTTTTATTCAGACAAGAAGATAAGGATTGTCACCAAGTTAAAATGTGGTCACCTACTCAATAATTAGTCAACAAATCAATAGTTTTAAATTTTGGCCTATAAAAGAAGGCATTTACCATGCATTTAAGCATCTTGGTTTTCAGATCATAATCATGCTCTTTATTTCTTTCTTTATATTGTTGTAATGTTTAAATTTTATTTCATGTTATATTTTACTTAATCTCTTATATATATTTTTCATTTCCTTTACTATACTTATGTTCTTATATTGTTTATTTATGTTTCTTTTTTTCATTATGTTTAGCTAAGTTTATTATATCAAGATGAAAAGGTTTCACTAATGGTGTTTAAATAAGTATAATATAAACTCAATATGGACTTCAATACTTATATCCTAAACAACTTGCTATTAACATATCTTATCATTTTTATCTTATTAATTCTTAATAACTTACTTGTTAAATGGTTAATCTAGATTTGTATTGTATAATACTTGATACAACAAATACTTGACACTTTCATAGCTAACTGTATCATATAACCTATATCTGTGCTATGAAAGTAACTTGATTTGTTGTTAACATATGTTAGCATCATAAATTTCTGACAATATTTAAAAGTTTGGTGTTACTTAAATAAAATAATTAATATGATCATGTTAATAATTTATAATGAGCTATTAATGACAAATCATTAGATTGGAACCTCCTTTTGTGTGATTTCTAGTTGAGTAATAAAAAAAGTTTATATTTTACTTATTGAAAATACCATTAGTTTGACTTGTTATCATAAAATAGATAAAATGAGTTAAATCAATATGAGTTAACCTATCAAACATGAGTTAGGAAACCGGGATAACTCTATAAAAATCAAATCAAGTAAATTTATAAAATTATAATTCTTAGTCAACCCAATGTTTAAGGATGAAAGTAAAAAAATAAAATATTCAATTGATAAATGACAAAAAACATGATTCAACCTAGCTAACCTGCAAAACTCGCAACCCAGGTTATGAGACCATGATAACCCTATTAAAAGAAAATCAAAACATAATTATGAAATCTAATTTTCAATCAACCCGATGTTGGAGAATGGAATAGAGCAAAAAATAAATTAAAAAATAATCTGAGTCAATATAGCTAACTTGCAAAACTCACGACTAGGGTCATGAGATTAAATAACTCTATATAAAAAAAAATCAAAACAGCTAAAAAATTTTAAAGAATAAAATTGAAAAAAAAAACTAAATTTGTAATTGAAAAAAAAACTAAAAAGTTTTAGAGACCAAAGTGAATAAGGCCTTGGCACGGTAAAATATGTTAATCAATATAAATCATATAAAATAAACCATACAACTTGATAAATAAATAAAAATATAAAATATAATACAACTTGATAGTATATGTTAATCAATATAAATCATACAACTTGAAAAATAAATAAAAATAAAATAAAATAAATTATACAAACTTCTAGTCCACCCATGCATTTTCCCTTTCATGAGAGAGAGATGCCGCTGGAGGGACAATTGCTTGATAACCATTTGGAGCTTTAGTGCTTGCAACCCTGGACACTTGATTATCTTGTCCGCCCAACTACTTTGCAACCCATCCATTACCAAGGTTTTCTGAAGGCCAACTAATTGTCTGTTTTATTATGAGAAAGAAAAAACAAACCCACTAATCTTTTTTTCTTTTTTCTATTGCCTGTTTTCTGCTTCTATGTTCACTTGCGGTCATCTCCTAGCATGAACAGCTATCAAAATGATTTTCCTAGGATAAGCAGAGCAGTTGACCTTTTTACGCAAGAACACGGTATCTCTAGCGTGATTCAACAGTCCTTTTCCAGTTTTTGAATGAGGAAGGTCTCGATGCACTAGTCAATTTCTAGTCAGATTTTACATAGCAGCAAGGCAGCCTCAACTACAATGACCTGCTCGTTATCTGTTAAATGGCAGGTTTCATTATGATATAAATCCATTTTATTTTGTATTTCAAAAATAATTTTTCTTATGTTTTTAAATTATTTTGATATATAGATATATTTTAAAAAATAATAAAAAATATTATTAACTTTATAATTGTCTCAGGTTTCATTGGAGATGTTTAGAACAGCAGAGCAAGCCAATACCCTTTCGGGCCAATTTGCAACTTAGCTAATTACTGTCCGGAAAAAGCAGTAACCTCTAACAATTCGTCGCCTCCTAGCCAAACCAAGTATTTGACAACTCCCCGAGCAATTTCCTCAACACTAGGCATTTCTTCCAGCAAGCAAGAACAACGCAGCCAGTATCATATTACGCTACGCATGATCCAATAACAAAAAATACAGTCACATTCACTGAAGCAGGAAACCCTCGTTTATTTTTTCTGACAAGACTATGAAATCAAACAATCTAAGGAATATTTTTATTCTATCAATCACAGCAGAATACTGATGTAACACCGACCTGCAACCAGCAACCCTTACAAGTGCAATTCAAAATAGATATATCCTTGTGGAACTGTTGAAGACTGGGTGGGAATGGACAGCTTTCCTGTATTTGTTACTCAGGTGGAAGCTCTATGTATACGAGACTCTCCTCTCCCGGTCAAGTTGTAGATAGGAACGAGTTGAGAATAACCCTGCAAAGCCCCTCGACAAGCATCCTTCAACTGCACATGGAGATTTCATGGACCCCAGCGAATTATTCTGCTTAGTGATATCCATGCCATCACTGGCTGAATTACCAGGTGGATTATCCTCCCAGTTCAATGGTCTGTAATCAATCAGCTTACTTCTCTTTGAATTCAACATAAAATTTGGGCCGACAGAATCAAGGAAGACAGCATCTGAGGACACCATTTCCTCCATTTGAAAGCTAGATAACTTCCTCTTCAAACCAGGAGTATCTTTCAATCCTGCAACAAAAAAACCAAGTATTCAGGAAATAGCTTACAGGTAACATAAAAGTGAAAACAAAAGGGCATGGTACAAAACGGAACTGAAAGGGAACTTTCAAGCAATTACCAGGAAGAGGGTCTTCAAATGTGCATGATTGAGACTCTGAATCACCACAATTACAGAAAAAGTTTGGCTCCCTGTTTGACCCCAATACCCTGCAAGAAAATATTGTAAATGCATGTGAGTTCATAGTTAGTGACAAAGGAGGGAAAGTTGGAACAGCAGTCTCAACATCAAAATTCACTTATCTTTGCTACTCGTGCTAGAATGAGTACTAAACTACCTAATATCATTCTTTCAAAGACCCTTAAATTTATATCCACATGCATAACTCTAGAAGCGTGTGGAAACTATTGATGAGTAGTTTCTAAAGTATTACGTGAGGAAAAAAAACAATCAAGTCACTAAACAGTATTTGATTCAAATTATTTAGTCTTGAATCTGTAAGTTACATTTCGATGGTAACATCTTTAAGCAAAAATAAATAAATTTCTATAGAGGTTCACAGAATCTAGAAAAAGATGAAGAGAGAAACTGAGAACATTTTATCACCATTGTTACCAAATATATTTTAAACAAGTTATGGAGTTGATGTAAGTTTTCATTATTTTGACACCACTACTTTCCTACCTGTGACTCAAAGTCATGTTATGTTAAACACATTCTAAATCTTTACTAAAAGTCAAATTACAGCAGGTACAAACTATAAAGAATTTGTTCAGTTGAATTTCAAATTTAAAGTATATATGTTTCATGGACAGAGCAAGGAATTCAAATATCCAAACACGAACAACTATCCAAGTTTTCTTTTTCAGGGATACCTATCCAAGTTTTTAAAGATGAAATTTCAGAAATGATATACAAACAATAATAACTTTTAAGTTTCCAAGTTAGATAGCTGTTGGGTAATCAGCACTTCGACCACATTTAAAATATTATCATGGTTATACGCTTAGTTCCGGGATCTCTTTTTCTGTCTTTCATCCCCCAGAACAGAGTAGGTCACGGCCCTGTTCTTTCTAATTCAAAAAAGAAGAAAAATAGCTGACTATCTTTTAAATAAAAGGAAAACTCGCTTTTGCATGCGAGTTACTATGAATTTCAAATGTTGTCTTCTTTCTTTATGTCACTCTTAGCAATAAATATTGAACTCTGTGCCTTCAAGCATTTTAACTAGAAATCTATACTATAGGTGTAGCTGTGAAGAAGAAATGAAAGTTTAAAGGGGGTGGTCACCATGGCCCATCTTGATTTCTACCCATTCGGTGACTTTGGCAGTAGCCCTCATTGAACCGACTTGAATCTGAACTATGATAAGAGTCTGACCAAAATCGGATTTTCTTGGCGTGCCATATCTATTGTAGGCATATGGGGAAAAGGCAAAAAGGAAAAAGAAAGTGATTGGTAGGCAACAGATTAGTTTTTCTAGTAAAACAAATGTTCTAACTAGGCTAACATCCAAGACATCAAGGAATATCTTTAAAATTTAGTGAAACACGGTTGAGGATATAGATATCAAACCTGTACATGTGCTCAACAAAGTCATCTATTAGGACAGGCCAAGCACCTACAAATAAGAAGCATACAAGTAAGCATTACTCTGTTACAAACAAAGATAAAACAGAACCAAGTCATGCATGCTCCTGTAAAGCAAACACACAGAATCAACAAAGAGAAAGAAAAACAAAAGAATGCCTAAGACCTTATTTTCTATAGCCTTGTTGCTTTATTATTTTCCAGAAATTCCTCACTTATGAAACCTTAGTAGAGATTCCCATACTCATATACCATGATCCTGCTCAGACACTATCAGAGAAAAACAAAATAGAAAATGACAAGGCATGCTTAAGGAAGGGAGATTTGAGAGAATCATTTAGTTCCACATGGTTGATAAAAGCAGAAGACTAGAAACACTAGCGAACCAATTTACAAATTACAAACATAGTTTTCTTCCAGCTGATTGAAAATAATTTCCACTATAAACCACAATTATTGATTCAAAACCCCAAAAAAACACGAACACAAACAGAGCTGTGCTTAAAAGTGGAAAACTTAGAAAGCAGAAGTGCAGCAAATATAATGAACAAATGTTTTGGAAAAATTGCTCAAAATCACAGGGAAAGGAGTCCATTCTATCAATACTAAAGCTGACAAAAGAAAGGGCACAGACAAATTGTTGTGGATAAATGATGTCCAACATGTGGCTTTATTGTATAGCTTAAATGTGTGTGACTAAATCATTGAATCCTTTAAGACATTGTACCTTCAGGATCGTACCCTTCAAGATTTTCATGTACACACCGGCTAAAAGCTAAAACTTGTTGCCAAGTATCCTCAGATATATTGTGTCGTTGATTTTCCTAAAAGCGATCAAAAGATTAGTTGCTTCAAAAGGACTACAAAAAACAGGTGAATGAGACCACAGATAATATTTATAAGGTACTGGTATGCATTGACCACTTATTGTTCAATTGTTCAACTGAGAGACAATATATCCCAATAACTTATGTATCCACAAAAAATGAACAGATACATAAGCATTTCATAAAGTACTCTACTCAACTGGAAAATCCTTCCACAGGATAAAAAGGCAAAAACAAAATGAATCACAAATCACAGTTATCCAGTTAGTTTAGTATCACCCATACCTGAACAAAGTCACACCATTGGTTTAGCAACCGAAACCTCCCAGCTAAAATTAATTTCCATGCTGTAATAGCCTTGTTTACAGCTGCAAGAGAAATTCAGGGAAATATAAAAGAATCCATTAAACCATGCCTAGATATCAAAGACATTAGAAATGAGAAAACTTACTGATATTCTTTTGACCATTTTCACGGCACATGAAGAATACAAAATCATAGAAACGAGAAAATTCTGAGAAATCCACCTACAAAAAGGTAGAGTTATAAACAAGAAACATAATATTAAATATTCCCTTTTTTTTCTGTAAATAAAAACAGATTTAGGAGTGACATTTCTTAATAGAGAACATCAATGAGGAAATCAAAATAAATGTCTCCAGTTCAAGAGCTTAATAAATGAAACTCACCATAAGTTCTAGCTTTGACATGAGCTTGAGAAGTTCATCAAAAATTGAAGTTCTGTCAAATGAAATGCCATAAATCTTTTCAGGAAATAAAAAAATAAAACAAAAGGAAAGTACATATCTAGCTAAACAAAAACTCCATATAATCACATAGCAAATGACACTCAACTGGAAGAGTTTATATTTATATACACCAGGTATGCTTTTAGAGCATGTTGAATCCTACGAGCATCAAGAAAAGACTCAACCCAGATAAATGGCAAGTTTGTCTTGCAATGTTCAGATTCAACCTATGAGTTAGGTTGTTCACATATTCCCATCATCAGAGGTTAGTTGTATTTGGGTCCAAGACATTTTGAGAAAACTTGCCACTACTTAAGTCCTACTGTACAATTACTAGAACTTATCATACTAATTTTTCCAGATGTGTATGCATCTGGACAGATAAATAACAGCATCCAATAACTAATAAACAAGATAATTAAGTCCTGACGTGATTTGTTTTCAGCAGAAAAATAACATTTCATAACCAAATCTCAATTCCGATGTCACACGCATCTCACCATGAATACTAAGATAAACGGATGTTCAAAGTATTTCTTGAATCTTATTATATAAGGGTTATACACAAGAACAACCATCTCACTTTTAAAGGCTCTTGATTTACATGAAACACAATCTTTTCTTCTCTGTTTTTTTTATTTGAGAAAACTAATACTCACAGAGTAATGATGTTCATCAGAAAACACAAAATATCCTTAAGCTTTACATTGAGGCCTAACACCAATAATATCCTAAAACTATAATAAAAGCCACAATTTACACATAAAAGTCAGTCCCTAAAACCTCTCAACGAAACCCAGACCTCAAAACCAAGAAACTCAATCAAATCCTAAGCAAACATCAAATCCGTTAAATATCAACAAAAGGGTACTTCCAAACCCAACAAAACAGTAAATTTAACTCCAAGGATAAGTTTTTATAACTAACCTTGAATGGAATTTTAAGTCCACAATTTTCGAAAGCTGCGCCAAAGCATCCCTGGAAGTTTTACCCTCGTGTTCATCATTTTCATCCGTTTGACATGATTTTAGTGATCTAATGTCATGGTAACGGATGTAAATCTCAAAGATTGAACACGGTGAGTCCATATCGGTCGGATAACAGGAAGGTAGATGGGGTTTTAGGG